AATTTTTGTGCACTCTAGTTATAAAATGAATGAGATGTAATGCTGTTAAGTGAACCTAGCACCGAAGTGTCGCTATGATAAATAAATATAGTGAACTTTAAAGAGTGCATTTTTTCTATTGTAGCTTATGCGGTATCCACGAAGTGGATTTAATTCAAAATTCTTTAACTGTTAATGCAATATGTTTAAATGAAATGCAAGAAAACTGCATATAATTTAACCCCTTAACTGCCGCGGGCGTATATATATATATGCCTTGCTCAGATGATGCGTTAACTGCCCCGGGTGTATATATACACCCTTCCAAACTACTATCATTTGCTTTATGCTGCTACCTGTAAAATTATTTGCAAAGCTTTGAAATGCAACATCACAATGACCTTGACAAAGTATGCGAAGGAGGATACTATTGCAAAAAAGTGTGGGGTGAAATTGGAAAGAGGGGTGAGTCTAGAGCGGTGAAAGTAATGACTGCGCGGTATTGGCTGGTGTTCTTTGAGTAAAACTTTTTTTTTTTTTTTACTTTGTGTCCTCTATTTTCATTTACTTTTTGTAGTAGGTTGCAGGAATAAAGACAGATATAACGGATGTTTCAAACCCATTTATCTTTTTTAAATTATTTTTTGATGAACTGCTCGTGCTTCATATTGTTACTGAAACTAACCGTTTTGTAGATAAGTATATGAACCAACACCTTGCAAACGAAAAATCAAGAACAAAATCATGGTATTCAACCAGTTAAAAGAAATATATGTTTTATTAGGCATACTGATTTCACAAGGTATAACTCTGAAACCTGATATTACACTTTACTGGTTTAAAAATGAATTGATCGAAACTCCATTTTAGGGATCTTTTTTATTATAAAAATCAGTGGCGGCTCGTAATAAGCACTGTGGAACTGCAGCACCCCCTACTCCCACTTATTATTATTTTTAATATTTAATATAGTGTGCCCTTTAGTCTTTAATTCTTTCTTTTTACTTTTACAATACATAATCATTAAACTTAATGACAGTATCCAACTCCCACTTTGTGAAAAAGGTACAAAAGTCTTTGTTGGAACTGCACGCTTCACATTTCCAGTGACGTGGTGTTTGGCTGTTCTGCGCATGTGCACACAGAAAACAGCACGTGAGCCGGGTAGAGAGAAAAGCACTGTCGCTTTTGCAGTGCCGAAATTCTGGCATGTTGTTGAAAACCTGATTTCTTTTTACTCTGCGCGTGTGGTATTCCTCCACAAGGTGGAACTTCATCCTACAGATCATAAACAGAGTTCATGAAAATTTGCAAATTTTAAAAAATTGCCTTACTGAAATTCACTCAACATCAAATGCAGATCAAACTATTGCAAAAGCAACAGGAATTTAAAAATATCTAAATGACGATAATTTCAAGTTTCGGTTAGAGCTTTTTTATCAGATGCCTCATGTTGAAATAAAATACAACTAAATGCAATCCAGAGAAATTAGTGTCTTTAAAGGTTAATGAATATATAACAAATTTCAAAACTGCTATTTTAGATTTAAGAAACTCAAAGAACTGCGAGATGTTTTCAAAGACATTGATGGCAGAAGCTAAGGAAACATGTGACTTTATACTATGTATTGATATAATGCACAGATGTTCTTCCACTAAACACTTAGCAGCTGCTAAATTGTTTAACAAGAAATGCTTAGTTTTAGGAATGAACATTCTACAGAAGATATAGTACTGACCACTGAAGCATATCCAGTGATTGACAAAGAAAAGCTTGAAACTGAACTAAAAAGTATTCTATTATAGGTCTGATATCCATAAATACTAAAAATTAATTCAGCTACTGAAATTTATCTTCGAAAATAATCTATATGATGTTCTTAGTGAAATTACGAAACTGATAAAAATTCTCCTGAGAGTTCTCATGACTACATCAGAGGCAGAACTCTGCTTTTCAACATTGAAAAGAATGAAACCTTTTCTAAGAAGCACTAGGAATTCGAAAAGACTAAATGCACTTGCAATTGCTTAAAGAAAAATTTCCTCAGCTGTTATTCATAGATCAAGGAGAAAATTATTGATCTTTTCACGCAAATTAAAACAAGAGGAATGGATTTCATTTTTAAATGAAATATACAAAGATTAAACTGTAACAATTTTGGTTAAAATAATTAAGAAATGTTTAATTTTTTTCTTGTAAGATTTCATGGAGTTTCAAAATAAATTTTCTTTTTATATTCCTTTTACACAATTTTAAAACAAAAGTTAAATTTTTTTGGAACAGCACTCCCACTAATTTTATCCACGAGCCGCCACTGATAAAAACATCATTTTTATTATACTTACATCTTTTCATTATACTTTTACTCAAAACATTAAATTCTGTGCATTCATTTTTTTCTTTTATTCTTTATTTTGTGAAAGTAAACAGATTTTAGAAAGTAAAATTTGCACTTATTTTCCCCCTAATACATCACATAACTATGCGCGCCTGTGTGAAAACCGTGGCACTGGAAAATGAATCTTGTACGTTTTCCGCAGAAGTTAAGGGGTTAATACGCCGTACAAGGAAGTCATGTGACGTACATATCAGATTTTTTCTTTTTCTTTTTAGTCCAAAGAGGCTTTGACACTGAGGGATTACTGTTTTCTTTTTGGCATTTTGCATTTAAACCTTTAAAAAGCTGTATCACTTTTCAATTGTTTCCACCAAATATTATCGCCCTGTATTGTATTTAAAGAAATTAAATAATGAAGAATCTGCATAAATGTATGTATGTTTCTCGCATTGTGATAAAAGAATGGTACCTAGAGCCATCAAATTTTGAATGATGTAATCCTACTGTGAATATGGAATCTGGAAGTCCAAATTTGAATTTGGAATTTGTTTTATTATCGATTTCATATTTCGTAAAACTAACGAATGTTTGATTAACAAACTCGACGATTTCAAAGCGAACAATGGCAACACTGTACAGAAAAAACATTTTTATCTCCAGCGCATGAGACTGTGTATCTGAAATTGTAAAGATATTCTGATTTTAAAATTGTTTTGCAATACTGCTCTTGAACTGAACTCAATTTTATGGTTTAAAAGTTATTAAATATCATGTTCATACATAATTACATACTAATTATGTATTAACATGATATTTAATAAATAAAAGTAACACATAAAATGTTAAAAAAAAAAAAAAAAAGCCCCTTTGGACGTAATTTAAAATTGGAAACCTTTCAGATTTTCTTTTTAATTAATTTATTTTTTGTAAATCTCATTTTTCTTAGGGTCATAAATGCTTCATTTTTTCCTAAACAACTATTCTCTATTTTTATTTTTATAATTTCTATTAGTCATCATACTAGATTTAAACTATCTAAAAATCTGGAAAATTCTGAAATTACTGAAGTTTCAAAGAGTCCAGATTGCGGACATTGTACTGTATATATAAACTAATATAAATACATACAATTTGTTTTAATTAACAAATATATAATTATTTTCAATAAAATTAATAAGTATTATTTTAACTGGATATAAGAGAAAAACATTAACATCTGCTTCAAGAATTTTATAGTGAATTGAATTTTGATGATATACATATTGAGCAAGTAGAAAGCTGAATTCAGCAAGTGAAGAGCAGTTATGTGTGATATGCATTTCGCGTAACAATTTAACATTACAATTATTCAAATTTAAAAACATTATTTCAGCTTTCACATTGAACACCTTTATTCCTTCCAGCATTAACTGACTGTGATATTAATGTGTATAGATAATACAAAATAGAGTATATTCATAAATTATACGTTTTGATTCAGAAAGAAATCTGAAATTACTTTATAAAATAGGAAATATATGACAATAAAATGTCCGAGTATGCACAGTAATAAAATTATCTACGGAAATTTTTTGCATGCTAATTTTTACCTTTGTTTGGGAATACATTTATATGCAAATTGTCCCCCCCACACACACACACACAGTTGAAAATTGATTAAAAAGTAACTGATTGACCAATGTGCATTTACTATCTGTGAAGATAATTTCTAGTAGTTTCTTTTCAAGGCCACAAACTTTATCAAAATTGAAACTCCTTCGAGTGTCACGCAGTTGCAGTAAAAAATTAACAAGCTCATAATTACTTACATATAAACATACACATTTAAGCATCGAAGAAAAATTTAGTAAATAGGAAAAGGAGACTAAATTTTAACTATTTATTCTCAAACATGGTCTCCGTTTTGGTAAATTTTTTCTGAAGACATAGAAAGTTTTCATATTTGGTTTATTTTTAATTTAAATTTAAGTAAGCTACTTAATGATTACACATGTTAGGATTTTTTAAAGAAACTAAATATTTAGTTGTCAGTATGTTTGAATTACAAAGTATAACTAACAAAACTGTCTTACTGGCACCAAACTTTGGATTTCAGATAGAAAATAAATAGAAATTTGATTTTTCCCCCCTTTGTGATATTATTATTATTGTTTATATATGTTTTGATAAATATTTAATAAGAGAAACTTAAAATTTATTTTTAAGATCTTTTTATTTTGTTAATAAAAACTTAAATCTTGCCTGTCAGCTGTTTTCAGATCGTGAATTTGGCTCACATGTAATTTGAGTTTAAGACTACTGTTTCTAAGACATCATTCATCAGCTGCTGCAAAAGGAAAACCATTTCCTGATCTTAATGCTTTACATGTGCAAGTGATAGTAGCAACATTCCTTAGCAATCAATAGTAGCCTCATAGCAAAGCATATAAGTAGATGTTATAAGTACATGTTACACATAGTAATCATATTCCACAGTGATGATCTGAATATTTTGCTTTCAATTCTTAGTAATTAACATATCTATTGATGCTGGGAATTTAAAATTTTTGTAATTTTTCCCTTTTGGCATTGCAATTTCAATGTTGAACACTGTGTGTTTGTTTTTAGAAAGCAGAATAACTAACTACATTTTAAACGGTCTTTTAAAGTATCATAAAGGTAATCTGACAAAGAAATACAAACCTTTCTCTTCAAATTTTTCTTAGCTTTTAAGACTTTTTCAGCCATATCTTCATCTTGACAAAGTTTTAATAATTCTTTACAAGTCATACTGGATTCCATCATAGTCTGATCATGGGAACTATGTATAATTACGTTTGAATTTTGCAAAAGAAATGCTGCAACTTCATTTTGGATAGTAGTTCTCAACCTCTCAATGGAGTGTTCCATATTTTCTTTCAATGTATCTATAGAAATTTTGTTGAAGAAAATAAATTTGAATGAAAAAATGTATAAATTTACATTTAAAGTGATAATAAATAAATACTGAATTTTTAGTTAATGAACTATTTATATAATGAAACAAAAAAAAAAAAACTCTTTATGATTAAGTTAAGATTTTAAAAATCATTTTATCATTGAAAATAAATATTAGTAATATAGTTACACATATTAAAATTATGATTTTTTTAATATATCAATGACAACTCTTAATAATTCTTAATTTTACTCTTAATTTTTGGTTGATAACAACTAGTTAGTAAAATGTAGATTTCATGGATGATTTTTTTAATAGAAACTAATACTATAGTCAAGGAAAATAATGCTGCAAATATAAGTACTTGTTGGTTATCTGGTACCTACCAGTACATCACAAAAAATACCACTTATGAATGATTATTGTAAGCTTTCAGTGGTTCTGGAAGCTCCTGATTCTTTTACATGGATGAGATTTTTGTTTCCTTTTCTAATAGTTAATCTTCTTTTTTCGGAGGGGGGAGGGGAGGATGGTTTGTTTTCTCATTTCATTGCGGAGTTGGGTCTTGAGACTGGCCACCACATGCAAACAATGGAATGCATGTGCAAATCAGCAAAATGGAGGAATAAAATGCAACAGAATAGAACTTGTCAACATTTTTCTTCAAACTTTCATGTGAAGGCACAGATAATATCGTGTTTGATGAGAGGCACAGATTGTGCCTGATGCCATATTAAATATGATTGCCAAACACTACCTGATGGGAATAAAAAAAAAAAAAAAAAAAAAGATTTCATCCCCAAAAGGCATCAAGATATTGTGGTGTATTGGCAGGTATTAGATGACTAACAAGTATTCAAATATATGACTTCATAAATTTCTATAAATTATTAAATAATTTCTTATAAATATATTTTTATTGAATCCTGAGAAACATGATAAATTTTTCAGCAAAAACCATTTTACAGAAGAAAAAAAATGACACCATTTTACAGAAGAAAAAAAAAAAAAATCTCAATTAATAACTTTTTTGCACTTTATTTATTAATTTCCCCACCCATAACAGCTTATGGCTGTCTTGGTGTTTTTGTGTGCATATATGTTCATGAACACCAGCTGTTCTGTAAGAAATCAAAAATTCAGTGACAGATGTATACACTGAAAACTTATTTAATTTCATTCATGAAATAATCTCTACATATAATAAAACAAAGAGTCTGTCTGTGTGTGTGTCTTTCGGTCATGCTGCGCGTAAGCTAATAGACCCATGGCTACAAAATTTGGTACATAAGTGCATCTAGGCAAAAGCCAGTTCACCTCGAAGCGATTTTTTTTTAAATTCAAATTCGAATTTTTTTTAATTTTATGTTTTGTGACAAAATCGCGTAATTTTGAGATATAATGGGCTATAGGAAAGCGAGATGTGAGTAGACATTACAGCACAGGTCGCCCCAGAGTTACAATGCCGAATGAGAACCGGTATTTGGCAGTTACTGCCAAAAGAAATAGGCGGAGCACGGCCTCAGATTGTCTCGTCAGCTCTCTTCAGCCACTGGTACGACAATTTCAAGGCAGACTGTGTACAGATGCTTAGGGCAGATTGGTCTATATGCTCGTAGACCTGTCAGATGCGTTCCACTTACTGCAACTCACTGTCGCCTGCGGTTAGTGTGGAGTAGAGAGCATGCATTGTGGACACTGCAACAGTGGGCTTGTGTGGTGTTTTCCGATGAAGCTCCAGGTACCCGTTACCACCAAGAAAAAATCATTGAATGACACCGTTACGGTGGTGCAGAGGTGCTCGTTTGGGGTGGAATTATTCTGGGTTCCAGAACTAACCTGCATGTTCAAATTGGAACCATGACAAGCCAAATCTATCGGGACGTCATTCTGGAACAACATGTACATTTGTTTCGGAGCGCCATGGGCGCACAATTTGTGTTTACGGATGACAACGCCCGTCCTCACCATGCAAACATTGTAAGCAAATGCCTTCAATCGGAGGATATCACCCGTATGAACTGACCAGCATTCTCACCGGACTTGAATCCAGTAGAGCATGTGTGGGACATGCTTGACCGACGAGTTGCAGCACGTCAACCTCCTCCTACATGTCTACCGGAACTTCAGAGAGCATTGCTTTTTGAGTGGTGTAATATCCCCCAAGATCAGATCGATAATTTGATACTCAGCATGCCTAGGCGTTGTATGGACTGTATTGCATCGTCTGGGAGACATACAATGTATTAACAATCATACCAACCATGTAATATTGTTTTTTTTTTTTTTTTTTTTTTTTTCTAATTTGCTCCAAGGAGAAAAAAAAATCGCTAATTTTTTTAATAATATCAAACATATAGCATCTTTTTTTGCTCTTTATTTTTTGTTTAATAAATAAGCTTTACAAATAAGTCAAATTTGTTTTGCTTCTAACTCTTCCTTTGCCTGATTTTGCATTATCCTTAATTTATGGACATGAGTGTAATTAAAATAATGTATGCCATCTTGAAAAATACAGTGTTACAAATTTTGTACATATATAAATAATCTGAGTGGAATTATGAGTGAAATTGTTGTATTTTTCTGTAAATGTAAGCCCCGATGGAATGATACTGTTGGAAAAATAAGAATACAGGGGCAAGTCTATGCAACACTGAGTAAATGGCTACCTCGCTAATTTGGCGAGATATGGCCAAGCTGGCAATGGTTTTGGTGACTAATTTTTGTAAACTTGGCGACCACTTTGGTCCAACCCCTGAATAACTGTAATGAATATCATAAATGAATAACAGTAATTTATCTTCTATGCAACTGTAACCATATCTGGCCCTCATATGCCTTCCAGTAATTTCGAGAAGCACTAGAAATTTCTCGGCAGCCAGGAGAATACTATAAAAGACCGGCGAGAGCATCAGTTTCTCTAAGTAGTGAGTCATTAATAGTTGTTAGTTCAGTATGAGTTCGGAGTACTGAGGTATTTTCGGATTAGCTTTGCTCTTTAGACGCTTAGACGTGCTTTGCATTGCACTGTATTCAACGTTTTTAGTAGTCTGAAGTATAACTACTGATTGTACTCTGTGATATGGTGAACATCTGTATGAGTATTTTTGTGGAAAATTCTAAAACTCTGGTGTTTCTTTTGATAAAATAAATTTTATCAACCTATCATCGGACCTGTGTGCGTTTAATCTATTACGAATCTGTACGTGCACAACAACTGCATATATATCTGAAAGTAATGCTGAGGCCTTTTTAGAAAAAAACTTATGAATAAATTGGCAATTTAGATTTAGTTTACTGTGAATAATTTATAATTTAAGCATCAATCCAATTTGAGATTTAATCACTGATGCTCTGTCAATCAATGGCACAGTATTAATACAATGACAAATCTTCAAGACGACCACTTATGTTTACAAGTGATTTGGTAGAGGCAATCATCTTGAAAAATGCAGCATATATTATAAATGTTAAGGCCTTTTTCGAAAAATCTGATAAAATGGTAATTTAATTATAGTTTATTGTGAATTTATTTATGGAATAATTTATAAGTTAAGCTATTCATAATCTTTTATTAATGGTCAATTAGTAAATTGTAGGTTCATTTCCTATGAGAATTGTTTAAATGCATTTGCAGTAGAAAAATTAAATACTGGATAAAGCTAAGGATTGAAACTTAAGCATGTGACAAAAAAGATCTCTTGTAACAGGGCCAGGACAAGGGTGAGGCACTTGCCTCAGGTGAATAAATAGAAGGGGCGCTAAATTCGATCAAAAATTCAGAAATTTATTTTTTAAATGCTAATTTTTAACTTTTAATTTCAGAATACATCAGCCAATATTAAAAGAATTTTGTGTTATAAACAATCCAGCTAAAAAAGAAAAAGAAAAACCAATAGCATTAATTTATTCTTAAAAGACATGAGCTTTCACAGTAGTGTATATAATATTTTCTAACGTTAAAATTTGTTACTGAAAGTAGCTTTAAGGAACTAATTACATTTTGTGTAACGAATTGTATAGACCAGGGTTCTCGACCGGTGGTACGCCTACCACTGGTGAAACACAAAGAAGCAAAGTATTTATAACTATTAAATTCAAAAATTAAAACTCCAACATCCTGATTTTTTTATCTAACACTCGTAAATTTATGCGATCTGAGCTTTGTTTAAGAGTGGTGGTGGTAGTAGTACTTAGTTAGTGGTGGTACTAAAGGTTTTCACTTTTTGTTTAGATGGTACACGTAAGTTAACAGGTTGAAAACCACTGGTATAGACTAAATTTTCATACAAAATATTGTACTGCCGACATTAGTTATTCTTTGCTGTCTCTCATTAGTTTGACTTAAGCTCTTTACTTGGTCATAACAAACTTGCTAAGTCCACTAACTGAACATAGACGGCGACATAACTGCTGAATTTTGCGATTTCATAAACGCCTTCTAGAAGAGCATCCAAAGGATGAGGATGAAACAAGGGTGATTGAAAATGAAATGTACTATATTATTAGTTATTGCACTTTTTATCTTTCTTTTTTTTTTTTTAAAGAGTCCAAAGGGGCTTTGTCCCTGAAGGGCTATTTTTTGTTTCGTGATTTTGCGTTGAATCACTATATGCGATTTTGCGATTCGCCACCAAATATTACAGTCCTGCATTATATTTGAAGAAATTAAATAATGAAAAATCTGCATAAATGTATGTATATTTTTTGCATTGTGATAAAACGGTACATAAAGCCGTCGAATTTTGAATGACGAAATCATCCTATGAATATGGGCATTTGGAAGACCAAATTTGAAATTTGGAATTTGGTTTATTATTGATTTCCTATTTTGTAAAACTTTAACAAATTTTTGATTAACAAACTCTACAATTTAAAAACGAGCAATGGCAACACTCTATGGGGGGGGACCTTTTTATCTCGAGCGTACAGAACTGTGTATGGGAAATTTTAGATATGCTAATTTTAAAATTATTTTGTGGCATTGCT